CTATCACGAACCTGGTACAGTATAAACATTCTTGTAAACTGAAATGAAACTTTATTTAAGTGACATGTTTACCCTGACATGCAAAGGACATATTAAACAAGTTCACCATCTAGTATAAAGCAAATAAACAAAGCCGATTTAATTTTTAATCATTATTTTGAGTGGAAGCCATTGAGGCGAGCATATTGGATTTTCATCATGTGTGTACCTGATGGTTGATAACTACATTTTACATCCACACACATGTATAAAGTCGACTGAAATAGTGTACGAAAGGCATATAAATCTTCATATAGCTCATAGATTGCTTGAAAGAATATAGTTTGCAGCTACCAAACAGGGAGGTACTACTGCCTGGGAAGATATTGGAAACAATGTAATGTTCTCTATTATCTAATGGTAAACCCTGCTGCCATATGGCATCACAAAAATTGTGACCAAGTCCCAGATTTCTGATCTGACTTTCTGCCTCATTTATACACAATTGCAGGGTCTCAATTGTTTATCTTACTTTGACAACACAATATACATATATTGTTTCTCATTCTTGATCTTTTTTTTTAATTTTTGTATCTCTTTATTGTTCATTATTATTATTATTATTTTTGCAGTGTTGTTATATTATTATTATTATCATTACAGGGTATTATTTTATTATTTTTATTATTTATTATAAATTATATGTATCTGAATTTTACTATTATTATTTTTATTATCATTGTTATTATTAAATTTTCGCCCCTCAGGCCCCGATGTGGGTCAGTGACCTGTGCCTGGATGGACTATTCCCCGTAAAAAAAAAAATGAAATTTCGATTGATACCCCAGCCAACTTCAGAGTATTTGTAAAAAATCTATTGATCAGACCTCCATTAGACGTTCAAATTTGGATCCTGATGTATTTATACACTAAAAACAATCCTCAACCCCTGTCAAATCTGCCTGAGCTCTGATACTATAATTAATACGGTATATCGACAGTTCTCATCCCATAAATGGAAGGATGTGGTTCTCATAAGTTTCTGCTCTTAATATGCTCCAGTCCTATTGAGGCCCAGTTCTAATAGGTTTCAGTCATAATAGGTCCCAGTTATAATCGATCCCAGTCCTATTAGGTCCCAGTCCTAATAGGTTCCAGTTCTAATAGGTGTCATTTATCCAGTTCTGATAAGTCCCAATTCTAAATGACACCTGTTATATTCTTTATCCCAGTCATACTACAATCCAGCTTAAATTATCCAGGAGGAGTAAGGCTCATTTGACCAGCAGAAGGACCCACCACTTCAGACTGAATTAATACTCAGTACTGTTATGACCTCAGTCATACCGTCATGACCTCAGTCATACCGTCATGACCCCAGACATACTGTCATGACCCCAGACATACCGTCGTGACCTACCTCATCACTAACTCAGGATATTGTTACAGCTTGGCGACGCAGTAGAGTGAGGTTCTGGTTGGACAACGTCATATGCTCTGACACTCACACCACCTTGAGAGACTGTGACTCTAACAGCCTGCTCACCCACAACTGTGTCCCCACAGAGGTACCGACATTGGCATCATCACAGCCCATTGTTCTGTTACTTATGATCTTATCTTCTGTTATGCTATACATGCAGTGGTCTCAAACAGAACTTGACATATAAGCAAGTAATGAATTTATAATTATTCTCGTGAAGTTGTTCTTAATTTTACACACATTGAGAATATTTTTAGTTATGTGGCTGTCAGTATTGGTGTTAACAGGTTGCTGGCGTGGTGTGTTGGACGAATGAGAGCAGTTGCAGCGCAGGCCTGTTTCCTTGTTCTACCTTCAATTCCTCCTCCTCTCCCTCGTGCATCGCCAGAGAAAATGTGTGTGATGGCAGTGGTCACTGTCTCAACTTAAGGTGATTCTCTTCTTCCAGCCACACTCATAAAACACTTTGGTGTAAAGATAATAGTAATCTCTATGTTAGCCAGAATCTTCAATCCCTGGAACTCTCCATTACCCGTTTTTTTTTTAGCATTCCAAGTAATTCTGGGAAAATTTCTTCTTTCTGTACATTCGAACAAATTTTCTAGAAATTGTCTCATACATATGGGTGGGTAGGCTCAGAGTGTTCATCAGCAAAGATGGTTACTCCTGTTATGTGACTGCATAGGATGCCTATGATTGGCTGATCTATCTTGCCGCCTATCTCCTCAAACTCTAGCATCAAAACAATCTTAGTTCATTATCTACTGTCATTGTCTGCTTGTAGTGAGAGATACAGTACTTGTGACTTGAATAATATAAATTTTGAAACAGTATCACTATAAACATGTTTTTTTCACGTTCCGGGCTTAAATGTAATGACTCACACAATCTTTACCGACAACCATATAAATCATAATTATTCAGACATGAAGCACACGTATATTATGTTCCCTTGTTCCCACAGTGATGAGGCTGTTGAGCTCTGTGAGGACGTGGGGGCAACACTTCTGATTACCAACACACAGGTTAATGTCCCTGGTGTCGCCCTGGGTACTGTCTACGTCAAGCATCAGCAGGAGTGGGGCACCATCTGTGACTACGGTCTTACGCTCAGAGACGCAGAGGTACATAACAAGCTGGATGTCATACACCAGATTGAGCATCTTACACAGTGTGAGAATGAAGGTGTTAGTTGCACCAAGTTAATTGGATGTGTTACTCGTATCAAGTTGACACTAACTATGGTTAAGTGAATGTGTCACTTGCATCAAGTTGACACTGACAAAGTCTAAGTGGCCAGGATAGAGTAAAGGTCTAACAAGGCAGGGGAGAATATGTGTCAAAGGGTGAGAACAGTTGGCAAGACACAGTCGCAAATCCCATAGGTAATCAACGAGTACCCAAGCTTCTTATTTATATGTATCATGATTATATGCATGATCGTCTATGGCCAGTCAAAAGGGTTATTTTTTTAAACTTCTGTACTGGTCATAGACGATCATATAAATATTACTAATACATTAAGTCATAATTCAAGAACGCCCATATAGACAGTACGGACAAAAACCAATGTCAAACGTGTAAGTTGATTTGACAACAAAGTCATTATGGCACATGTTTATTTCTAGGAGGGTCTTTCACTCCTGCAGGGAGATTAATCAGTAACAACCAGTCTACAAGATTATATATATATATATATATATATATATATATATATATATATATATATATATATATATATATATATATATATATATATATATATATATATATAGAAGAGACCTTTATGCTAGGATGGGTACTTCTAGATGGAGTAGCAACCCTGGAGTTTCTAGGGGGCAGTTCAAAGAGAATGAAGTCTTTAAACTGCTAGTAGACATTTAAGTTAGTCGTGTTCTGAGTCCTCTCTTTGTCGCGTTTAAATTTCAACTCCTGCCTAATTTAGTTTTGTCATAATTCCTAGCACTATTTCCCTGTAACCTTTAACTGTGTATACCTGCTCACACTGCAGTCTCCCTCCACCCCGTGCTAACATGTTCTCCTAGCAGTTTAAAGACTTCGACATCTTTTGAGCTGCCCTCTCGAGAGAACCAGCCAGGGTTGCCACCCCATCCCTAGCATAAAGGTCCATTCTACCATAGAAGTTGTCCCAGTTGTCAATGAATGGGACTGATATTGACTTGCAACATCTGTCAAGACGGTCGTTGACACCAACTGCCCTTGACAACCATTCACTGCCAACTCTCCTTCTAGGCAGGACACCACATATGATAGGGATCCCTCCCTTCGATCTAATACATTCTATAACTGCCTTGAACTTATCAAGAAGCTCCTCACTCCTACACCGGCCAATATCATTGCTTCCTGCACTGAGGCAGATAATGAGTTTGTTCCCATTACCAGACAAGATATTGTCCATCCTGTCAACTATATCCCCCACCCCAGCTCCTGGCAAACACACCCTCACCCTATTTTTATTTTTACCACAAAAAACCCTGTCCAGGTACTGTACCTGGGAGTCACCAACAATTAAGGTTTTCGTACCTCCCTTGTCAGCCTTGTCTCTGACCATGCTAACGTCCAATTCGTCTATCAAAGGACTGACAGAGTTGGTACAATTAGCTGTTGTTGTCGTATCCTTTGTGTGTTTTTTCACCACCCGTTTGGTCGGCCCTCTCCTCACAACCTTCCATTCGCCTCAGTTTTCGTAAGACACGGGCTTTCCTTGTCTCGTTTCTTCCTTCATCCTCGCTATCATTTGCTTTAATTTCAAGATTTCTTCCTTGGCCCTCTGAAGAATAGCCCTGTTCACAAGTAGCACTAGCCATTATTGACAATTAATCCCCAGGAGCTATGCCTGCCATGACCTTTCCTCTAGTGAGGTCAGAACTCACAGTAGATAAGTCGGAAGATATGGTGTCCCTGTTAGTAGAAGCCATCACTAAATATTCATTGCGCTCTCCAAATACATCACACAAGTTTTCTAAAAAATACAGTCTGAACTCCATGTAATTGTATCAAGAATCTAAAACTCCCCTCCATTTTAGTCTTCTCCTCGTCCCGAGAGGCTGAGAGGAGTCCTTTATGCTCCACTCTTATACAACAGGGAACTGGAATTTTATCGTTAAGATTGATAATTATGCCCATAGTGTTCCTAAAGGTAGATACAAAATCTACAATTTAATAATTTGTTCTAAATATCCGTAAAAGCTTGCTCCCCATTGTGAACCTGTGGGGCGCCGGTATGGTAACTTTACAGTATATTGCCTCCATGAAGTAAATACTAAGGACGAATATTCTTATTAAAAATTTATCGCAGTGAATCCTGTTGACAAGCAAACAAGATGGCCCCTAGATATTTTGCATGCGCTATCAACTAATGAAAATATTACAGTAAGTTAACTTTAAATCTTAGTAAAATAAAGTAAACTTGATGGTAAGATCCACATGGGTTATCATTAAATAGCATTATACAATATAGACTTTACTCTTGACACACTGTCTGCACTCTTAGGGAAAACGTTAACAACTATTTAGATCAGAGTAATTTGTGGTCAGTAAGGATGTGACTGTGTTGCAGGTGATATGTCGCAGTTTGGGCTATGGTCAAGGGTGGACGGTGCAGTTCCCGGGGTCTTACCTGGGGTCGATCACCGGAAGACTGTGGGTGGAAGAGGCGCCACAGTGCACAGGCAACGAGGAGTGGTTGGGCGAGTGTCCCGGACTGGTGTGGGGCTCTGATCAGTGTACTAAGTTCCAGGAAGAGGCGGTCTTCTGTTACGACCAAGTAAGTCAAGAGGAAGGAATGCGTCTTAACGAATCAAATTAATTACTATTTCTGGTTGTTCGCTTTATCTTAAACTTGTTTTTAGCCTTGAATTTTATCCTCCCACTTTTACCTTGTCTAACATTCTCTCTCTCTCTCTCTGTGGGATGAAGAAACTGCACTATTTGAGACAAGGTGAGAATGATCTAGGCGTGTATATTGACAATGAGCTGAAGTTTTCGGGGCATTGCGACAATGTAAATCAGGCAAATAAATTATTGGGTCTTATAAGGTCATTCAGATATCTAGACGGTCTGTCCCAAGGGGCAAACTAATTGAGGTGTATTAGCATCTCAAGGGGCACTACTCTGTCAAGTGTCCTTACCTGGAGGTGGCGGACGCTCGCCCCACAAGGGGTCACAGCTCAAGGCTGAAGAAGCCGCAGGTCCAGAAAACTGTGAGGGCAAACTTTTTCCGAGTGAGAGTTGTGAACTCTTGGAACAACCATCCAAAGAGTATTGTGACGACACCAGGTGTGAGCTCTTTCAAGACCAGACCTAACCAACACTGGAGCAGGTTAAGTACATTCAGGAGCCAGTGCATGCCCAGTACTTGCCAACAGTGCGTAACAGAGACGTGACCGATATATAAATAATATATATATATATATATATATATATATATATATATATATATATATATATATATATATATATATATATATATATATATATATATATATATATATAATGAGACAAAACTCGTATAGAAGATATACATATAGGTAGAATATTTATAGTAGGAGGAATGTAAAGAGAGGAAGTTTGGTAGCGTGGCCGGCGAGTTATTTACACTTATATTACGTTCTTAAGGGACATTTTGTAAACACCGCTTTCAATACTGCTATTTATTATTCACTCAATGACACAGGCACATTAACAGAACATTATATTGAAGTTACTAGCACATACGTGGCATGGACATTATATTTACGTTACTAGACACTGACTCTCGGACACAAACATGAATGAGTACACTTCCAACGTAAGTAATTCATCCTATGGATAGCTCTGACAAGACTCACGTGTGACCTGTGGGAGGCCCAGCAGGGGCTTCTGGACTGTCTCCTATGGGAGACTCTGCTTAGCTGGTGACGCAAGGCTGGGAGGAAGTCTCCCTCCCCAGCTCGACTAGCGACGAGCGTGACTCCGTCTTCCGTCGATAGTGTTGTGAATATGAATTGGGAATGACTGATGTAGCTAGAATGGCAATGACGAATGACGAATGAGCAATGAGGCCCGTGGACGGGACTGCAGGCAGTTTATATGGAGGAGAACCAGCCGGCGAATGACCCCTACCAAGAAGTGGTTGTGGGTCACCTGGCTAACTCAAGCAATTAGTGGACGAGATCAGGTCCCTTGGGTCCTGACCCAGGAGGTGTCAACTTGGTATGTGTGTGTGTGTGTACCACAAGGCATGTACAGTACTCACTGCTATATGTGTTGTAATTCTCTGGGCTGTAGCTGTGGTCTGATAAACAATCATTATATATATATATATATATATATATATATATATATATATATATATATATATATATATATATATATATATATATATATATATTTATATATATATATATATATATATATATATATTATATATATATATTTATATATATATATTTATATATAAGTATATATATATATATATATATATATTTATATATATATATATATATATATATATATATATAATATTATATATAAATTTATATATATATATTATATATATATATATATATATATATATATATATATATATATATATATATATATATATATATATATATATATATATATATATGCCTATGGTCCTTGTCTCATTGTCAACATTGCCTTTCATATCTGATGTTACTTGAGTTTGTTATCCCAGTACTTTTATAAACCTTGACAGCTTCAGTAGCTATTTTTCTTTGTCACAGGGATTAGAGGTGCGTCTGGCTCCAGGAACTTCTGCTAGTGTGGAAACAGTATCGCATAGTGTAAGCACCGCACCCCAGACTGTGGGCATAGCATTCCAGGATACGGATATAGCATCCCACATTGGGACCATATTGCCCCCAAGTAAAAGCAGTGCATCCCAGAGTGAGGATTTATTGTTCCATAGAGTGGGTGTACTGTCCAGGAGAGTGAGAGTCGCTCATCCGAGTGATGTTACCGGTAGAGTGGAGGCCTTGCTAGGTGGTGTGTGGGGCAGCGTCTGCGACTCTGACTTCGACGATCTTGATGCCCAGGTAGGTCATTGTTTTCTGAATAAGTTACTGTTGGCTTCTGTACATACGAGCAATTATCACTTGCTGTTGTTATTTCTGGATTATGTTTAAATACAAGTGTAAGGATAGTGCTATATCATATATTGTACGGTAAAACACTGGAGTGTGGGAGTGGCATTATAATATTTGTGTTGGTGTTAGTCATTTATATTACAGTAGTTGTGTTTATTCATTATTTTTAATTCTCATAGATTTGATGATTTATGATTATAGAATTGTGTGGTTGCGTTTGTTTTTTTTATGTTGTTCATCGATGGTATCTTGTTTAGGGATCTCGCTGTTTATTGTTGACGATCCTGAGTTAGTCGCCTTGCCACCGCGATAACAGAAATGCGCACCTTCACTGACCAAGACCAACATTTAATTTAGAAAAGGGTTGCCATATCTGAACATTCAAAAAAGAGGACGCTCCCGAAGACATCCCCGCCCGGCACACACAGGCTAATATACAACATACATGGTATAGAAATCTTAAAAAAATTACCTTTGCTTAAGGCTGAACATCTTCACTCCCTTGGCGTTCTTCCCCACTGTGTGTGTGACTTGATGCGCCCATGCATACTTTTCTGTAGATCGGACCTTTTTCAGTATTGGCTGATTGCTCTTTAGAAAGGTATAGAAGTCACTGCAAGGTGTTTCTCGGAGTTGTACTGTACGGTCAGAATGCCTTTCATTGTTTCAACACTCAATTTGTTCCTTTCCTTTGTCCATTGACTTTGCATCAGTGAAAAAACTCTTTCTACATTTGCATTGTGAGATGATATAGCAAGAAATTGTGCAATTCTTAGCAATTCTGAATGGCATTCAAAGTTCTTTGATTTTTCAAAGTATCTGGTCAACTTTATGTGTTGGCAGATTACTAAATTCTTCATCACTTGTAATTTTCCACAAACTGCATCAGGTTACTAACTTGGTCAAAACACTTCACATCATCAACTTCTAACCCCTTATCAATCAAATATTTGACAGCTAAGTTGACAACACCTACAGGCGTACAAGTGACTTATCAGCTGACGAAAACTGAACGAGATCTCTACGGTTTCCACCTCCCTCTCTCTGTCTCTCTCTCCGTCATTACAGTTTCATGTTTTTTTTTCCGTGGAGAAAATGATGGAAGCTGAAATTCCGGACTTTTGAAGAATTTTAAAAATTCCTTCCGGATGAAGATTTCGAGACCTAAATGGAGGACATGTCCGGGAAAATACGGACGTATGGCAACCCTAATTTAGAAGTTATAATCATAGTATTAACAACAAGCAGCTCAACAAGTGGTGATTTACCACTTTAAATAAAACAAAATTAAATTAACTAAAATTTACTTAAGCATCCTTCTGATCAATATCACTCTAAACCTTTCTCTTTACTAGTACTTAAAGATATGAATCCTATTTATCTTGAATACTAAATTAGAACCACCGTTTCTCATCCGATCCGCGAAATTAAGCAACATGGGATTGGTTCGGACTTGGATGGGTGACCGCCTAGGAACATCCAGATACTGTTTGCATAAGGGCCTTACTGGAAATAAGCATCGCATGACCATATTAACTATCCTTGGTCAAATTGACTAAATACTGTATCAATTATTTTTAGTATAGAGGCTCTGCCAAAGGTTGACTTCCTTGCTGTGCTGATATTAGTAATACGTAATCCGAGTAACTTGAGTCGGTCTCTACTGATGATCAGACTTGTACTGTCGTTCTTTTGAGACTCGGCTACAGTACACCAAGGATTCTGTTCTATAAGGGTTATAATATGCCAATGAGACCCGCAAAACACTGATGACAAGCCACACTTTTGTACGAGTCCTCAACACCAAACCCGTAACTGCCGTACCACTTCCTATTATACAAATAATGGTTCACCTGGAATTCATAATTCACAGTGAGGTGCGGAGGAGCAGTCTTCTGTATTTTATAACCATATTTTGCATTCTTTTATATACAATATCTCAAAAAGTATCTCTCTACACACTGTGAAACATATGAGACCACAGATGATAGATATGCACGTTCCTGCCCTGTATAGTTTAACATAGTATGTTTATTTTGGCGTAATTAATATGATGTTCGGTTACAAAATGTATAGGATCAGTATGCCACAGAGCCACACATACCAACCCTCCCGGGATATCACGAGTTGCATGTAGCATTTTGGAAGTCATCGGACCCATCCTGGCAGATAGTTTTTTAAGACACTGTACATAGCTAAGGCACAACAATGCTTCCTGCCAACCTGGCGGTCAGTTCCTTTGGACATCACAACACCTAGGTAACTACCTAAACGAATGATCACATGTAGTCCTTATCTCCAACACTGCCAAAGTAAGAGTTCTTGACCACATACATAACCTACAGACTGAAAATAACATCACACTGTCTGTAGGAGGGCTGAAAGTGCTGTCATTGTGACTCAGCCTAACGGTAATGTAATAGAGAAGGCTAGAATTATTAACTGGTCATCCACTCTACAAACTGAATTATTTGCCATACTCACAGCCCTTATCCTCACTACTTGTTCTTGATGCCCTTAGCTCCCTATCACCTCATACATAGGCGTCAGTCAACATGACAGAGTTGATGCTTTAAATAAACTCGCGTCCAACAATGACAATGTTGAGTACCATCTAGGACTGTCAAGCAGAACCTTAGCAACAGTAACCAGGAAAAAACTTGCTGATTAATTTGAAGCCAGTAGACAAGTGCAAACAGGCACTATCCAATCCATTGTTTACTCTGATGAGATGTATCAAGTAAAACATGTACAGTATATGGAGCAAGTAACAAGATCACAAGATTACGTTGTTGTAACCGCTAGACTAAGGTTAGGATATAAGTACCTCTGGTAATATATCCCTCAGGCAGATGTGAACAAAGCTTTTAAAGTGTGTAACCAAACTTATGGTCGCACACTCTGCCACTACGTCTTAAACCACTGGGGTCTGATAAACACCCTTAGCGGCCACTACTCTGTAATTCTTTTTGCACTACCGCTCACAAGATGACTATGGGGTGTACAATAAACTAGCTGTTGTCCGTGGCAAAATTCAATTAAAAGTCAATTCTAGCTGGCCAAAAAGCATTACATGTCCCGGGATATTATGTACTGTACTGCAAACACATGCTGATTTCTCCTTCATGTTAGCAGGAGACTTAAATCGGATGTATGCCACTGGAGTGTAATATTGAATGTGGTAAAATTTTCATTTAAAATAGTATCTAGTTTTTTTGGATGTTTAAGAGATTTATTTTTTCCACAACAACTACTGTACTAATTGATGTATTATGTTTTTCACCTTTTATTTCATCCTTTTCTGTAAACATTTGTACAAACTGTTAATTAATAAGAGCAAGTGTTTATCTGCAGGTGATCTGCAGGATGTTGGGGTATGAGGGCGAGGCGGTCGGCTACAGGCTGGCTGGCTCAGGTTCTGGCCCTGTGTGGCAGCTCAGATTGGACTGTGTTGGTGATGAGCAGTCTCTCCTGGAGTGCCGAATGAGGCCACATAACACCACTTGTCCACTTAATAACACTGCCGGGGTTGTGTGTTCTCACACGTAAGTAGTGATCTGATAATTTTTGTCACATCATCATCTTGGTTAGAGTGCCAGCCATTTGCTCAGTTGGTTAACGCGCCGTGCTAATAATGTGAATGTCGTGTACAGTACATAAACATTTTGCTATTCGCACAAATTAAATATTTCTCCTTACTGGAAGAGAAAAAATTAGTAATAATGCAGCAAAATATCTTCTTGTCAGTTCACTGTCTGATTAACATTATTGTGACGCTCAACTCTTTCTATTTCTGCATTTGGGGAAGCATAACTTAACTTATGAGATACAATGGTAATACAAAATATTACGAAGCAAACACGAACACAGCACGGTGGATGACGTCACTGAAATTGTGTAATTTTATTCTCGATCTCTTTATGATCTGTAAGTTAGCAGAATTCTTCATCATAGGTTTCAGAACATAACATCAGGGTGTGTAACGCGACTTTTCCTTTGACTGTACTGTACAAGTGGCTCCACTCCTGACTTTACCACTTAGTGTTGCCAATCCTCTCTCACCTTGAGGTAGGAATCCCCGAACTCTGAAGTGCAAAACTGATTCATTCACTAGTGAGTGGGGGGGATCCTATTGTGACTCTTTGTGGGGTGAGACAGAGTACTTACCTGTAAGTGGTGAGGAAGGAAAGTTTATATCAGTTGGAAGAAATTACAGTGCATAATAACGCTTTGACAGTAGGGGTTTCGTCAACTGAGTGTAATCGCCTAGACTACTCTAGCGCTAGTTAAATGAAAATATTGTTACGACCCTCCTTTCACCACTTACTCAGCTTCCAACACTGGTTACCAGCAGCAGGTCATTTATACAGAAGCAGAAGATAACTCACAAGTGTTGTGAGGTTGAAGAAGCTGCAAGCCCAGAAAAACTGTGAGGGCAAACTTTTTCAGAGTGCGAGTTGTGAACTCTAGGAACAATCTGCCAGAAAGTGTAGTAACGGCACCGAGTGTGAGCTCTTTCAAGACCAGACTTGACCAACACTTGAGCAGGTTCAAATACATTCAAGAGCCAGTGCATGCCCAGTACTTGGCAACAGTGCATAACAGAGACGTAACCGATCGCACAAGCGGCTAACGAGCCGATCAGCGGTGAAGAGGATAAAAGTAAAAATTTATCTCGTTTAGAATTTGGCAGAATAATTGCATCCTGAAATGTGATTGGTAGGATAGTTTCTATTTTGGAAAGTGTAATTGGTAAATACTTTGTTCATTACTATCGAATTTAATTAAGTTTCTACCTCCCCGTTCGGATATGCTGCACAGATGGATGAATCGATATCAACTCTAGAGACAGATCTAGTTTGAGAATTAGGGGGAAGGGAAAATGTGAAGAAGAGTGAAGAGTAGAATCATCAGCGTAAGAATGGATAGAATTAGTCGTAGTGTGAAGTAAATCATTGATAAAAAGAAGGAAGAGAGTAGGTGAAAGATCAGAACCCTGTGGGACACCACTATTGGTAGAGAAAGAGCGAGAGATCAATCCCTCAACGACAACTGCCATGGATCGGTTCCCAAGGAAGCTAGAAATTAGAGAACAAAGTGGAGGAGAGAAACCATAAGAAGGAAGCTTAGAAAGCAAAGACTTGTACCATACCCTATCAAATGCTTTGGAGATGTCGAAGACCATGACAAACGTTTCCCCATAATCTTTAAGAAAGTATGAACCAAAGATTGGTGCAGTAGGAAAGCAGATCACCAGTAGATCTCGCCTGGCGAAAGCCTTATTGGTGATCCGACCAAAGAGAAAGCGTTCAAGGTGACGGAGAAAGTGAGAGTTTAAGATAGTTTCCAAAATCTTGGAGAGGGATGATGTTAGGACAATGGGGCGATAGTTAGAGGGATTAGAATGGTCACCCTTCATCCGAATGGGCTGAACCAAGGCATGCTTCCAAGAAGAAGGAAATGTTTGTGTTTTGAGGCAAAGGCGAAAGAGGCGGGCAAGCACAGGGGCCAGAATATCAAAACACTCCCTCAGAGCACGAGGGGGTATTGCGTCCGGTCCGTGCGCCTTACTCACATCCAACCTGGATAACACACCAGCAACCTTACGAGTGGAGATTATAGGAAAGTACATAGGTTGAGTAGGAGGATAAGGTGGAGTTAGAAAAGAATAAGGTGCCGTAGAGATTGGGTTTATCAGGGGGAGAGTTGGCTGTAGAGTTATCAGTTGGGATATTGTCTACTTCACTCTACCACGAGGAGCAAGGGTGATTGAGCTAGTGAGGATGAGATTGTTTGGGTAGTGCACGTTTTCTCACATGACCGTGAAACAAGAATGGCAACATTTCAGTAGTAGGTGATAAATCTTCATTTATATCTTCAACGAGATTAAGGATTAATACACTTACCTTGTATTGTAAGGGTGGGGGGGTATTTCTCTCCTCTCAAGCTGCCCCCCTGGTCTTACTCATACTTCTCTTGTCTTAGTTCCTTCAACTGTTCTTTCTTCATATTTCAGTTCATGGTTATTACACAACCTTAGTTCTTTGGTACCATGGCGAGGGTCAGGGCACGTGGGTATTGTAATTCTGATATCAAGTCACTTGGACGGAAATAAAGGGGAAATACTGCAGGAAAATGAATACCCCTAATGTACTCTAAGAAATGGTTTATTAATATGAAATCAAAGTAGGGAAAAAGATATTATTAATATACAACTCCAAGGTGCAACTCCTCGAATTTACTCAACTGCAATTACTCAGATCCTGTACTCTTACTACACACAACCTTACTGGTGTTACATTACATTACAGTTACCAGGATCAATTCCTTGGCTTTACTCACATGCCATTTTAAGTGGGCACCCTGCCTTCTCCCACATTACTGGTGATACATTTCATTAACAGTTACCAGGATCAACTCCATGGCTTTACTCAGTTAGTCCCAAGTGGACAACTTTACTTCTCACACATTACTAGGTACCTTTCATTACATCCGGTTACAAGACAAACTTACATATGATACCTTCACAGACTGTTGTTAGTATATATGAGATGCACTCACAACACCCAACACGTTAATACTGAAGCCAACAACTTACACATGGGTTCACTACCCAACATGGGATAATTATTTCCAGTTAATTATCCCCAAACAAATACTACACACTCTGTGGACCATAACTGCCAGGAGTGCTCCAGGGTAGAACACTCAACAACTGACAACCGCTGTTGTGGTCGGTTGTAGTCCGACACCTGGCGAGCGTCTGAGGTCTAAGGGCCACGAGGCGGACCTGCAGTTAATCATGTCGAATCAACGACATCGTCCATATATCGCTCACTGCTAGATAGCCACTGACTCCAGGGCTATAGGTGGGGTGTTCAGAGAGCCCACGCACTTGAATCTGGGGAACAACGGGAGGAGAGGCGTCACGGGAGAAGCATGGATGACTCAATCACAACAAATCCTTCGTCTCGCAACGTCAGACGACATTTACTTTATATTACTTCTTACACTGGGTGAATGACAATTCCACTGTTATAACATGAACACTGATGTTCCCACAATTGACTGAATCAAACTGAATGGCTATAACGGCGGGAACACATGCTACATACCTGGGAACAACGGGAGAGGAAAGACGTCATGGGACGCTCTCTCCTTCCCGCCCGTGGTTCATATACTCGTGAATTGCCAGACGTGGCTATCTCGCGCAATGACAGAAATCACATACAAACCAACTGTTACACATTCAAAGATGACCCTCGGTTGTCAAAGGTCTGGAGAAATACTTGAGTTGATTTACACAGACTAATTCAAGATTGAGCTTGCCAGGAGAAAGTGGAATAAAAACGTATTGACAACTGTCTTCACAAAGGCTGAGCTTACAGAGGGATCCTATTTGTAAACATCGAGGGGGAAAAACGCTTTTCTTCTTAGGGGTAGCTAACCAGTTACCCATTCATGTTTTGCGGGCGTGGAGTATAATAAGAATCATTAGAATTAAAACAGACTAGCAGTCAAGTCAATGTGACCATGACAGTATTACTACTCCTCAACATGTGAATGCTGCCATGGTTGCTGGAGGTGAAAGTTTGTTTTCTTGTGTGAAGACTGTCCTTTCTCAGGGCTCCATATCATTGGCCACATGTTGCTGTGGGAAGGTGAGCCTGGCAGTGTGGTGTGCATCAGTGAGATGCTCCTTCTTCGCGGGTACTCGGTGGTGAATGCCTTCTGCATGTAGCTATCGCCGCACTGTGGTCACAGACACTTCCAAAGCTAGGTTTTCCCTAATTGCCTTGGCGTTGGTGAAGGGGTTGGCTTCCGCTGCCTGCAGGATCAGGTCGATCTCTTCCCAGGTAGTCACTCGTGACCGGGGTCTCCTCTCTCATCATTGAACATAAAGGGTTTTCGTCTCATCCTGTGCATAATATAGAACTTTATTATTTAACATCTTTAAGTTTTTTTTTTTTTTTTTTTTTTACGGGGAACAGCTTTGCATAAAAAAATGCACATTTGATGACAATAATAATCGTAATAATAATAATAATAATAATAATAATATTGTCACTTTGTTTTCCATTTAACCTAACTGTTTGCCACAACTGAACTATGTGGTTTGCTGATTCTGTACCGGACTGTTGCCAACTGAACTATTTTTATTCACATTAAGTTTGTATTACAATACATATGTGGTGCCCATTTCCTAATTGTTTTGATTGCGAATTAATCCCTTCACTACGACGTCGTCTTATCAATACTGTATTCTGGTTACAGCCAGACGATTTTATTCAGCTGGGGAAGTTCCATCTCGTAGTCAAGGAATTAAACAAAACTTCGCTGCTTCTACAAGATACATATCCATAATCCCTTTGCTCATACATGCCCTCTTTTGCAAAGGAACAACTTAATTAGAACAAAAATTCATCCCCCTCTCATCCTATTTTAAATGTAGTATTTTCATCTGGCTAACATTAGACGATTACAGTGAGCTTTGGGAACCCCGTCGGTATTGTCAAAGTGTTATTCTGCAATATAATTTCTTCCAACAGATACACTGTACTCTTTCCGTTAAGGCCAGTACCCCCCCCCCCCTCACCCCCCAGAAAGACACCTACCCCGATACACCCCACCTACCTCCCTCCCGCTCACTAGCGAATGCTTCGAATTCACACTTCAGAGATCGGGGTTCACACCACAGGGAGAGAAAAGCTTGGCAACGCTAAGTTGTAAAGTCAGGAGTGAAGCGAACTGCACATTCTGCTGAGGGCGCCAACTGCTATGGATGGCGTGGACACGGATCACTTGAAGATGTCGATCAGCTTCCTTCTCACCTCAAGGGACAACACATGGGAGGTGGTGAATGACGAACAGTTCATCTACCTGAAAGAGTATCTCACCTCTCTCCTGGAGGCAGCTGAAGAGAGGAGCAGGGTTGGTGAACATATTGAAGCTCTTTGTTTGCTACACGAGTTGGAAACTGGAAGTTGTACCTGAAGTGCATTGCGCAGATGTTACTAGCGTTCCATGGTGCAGGACATCTGGCGTATGCCAAGAATAGCAGGATCTTTGTGGTGCATATGAGAGCTCTCCAAGATATATGCCTTAAGCCGAATTCAGGAAGTTTACTGAAGTATATTCGTTGTCAGGCGAAATGATGGTTTCTACTGCAGGAATTTCATGGACAAAAGCTTCGAGCAAAGCTTAATGAAGTTGCAAAAGACTTCTGGTGCCTAAAACATGATCGAGGAATAACAGATGTGACAACTTGTTTGTTGGAAAAAGAGTTTGCTCAAGTGTGTTCTAATCTGATCTGTGCTGCTTGGGAGAGTTTTCCCCATATACACACCACCATCGCAGAGAATCACAAAGACATGATGCCGAGCGTTGTGTCCTGAACTCGACAGGAAGTAAACACATGGCAGCTTGACTCGTGGAACAACCTTCCTTTCCACCAGACACTGACAGTTTGATAGACATCTCCACTGGAACTGTTGCACCTCCAGGGGCTAACCGTGACTTTGAACTAACCATTGGCAGAGCTCTGGCTGAAACAATGGTTGACATAGCATCGAATAAAATTATGCTGAAAAAGAATTAACTGCCAAGACCAGATAGTGAAGAAAACCCAACACTTCTTTAAACCAAATACCGTAACTGTACAGTATTGCCGAATGACAACAGTGAATGCAGCAGTACCTGAGATACGAGGTGTGTCACCAACCCTCGTCCCTGTATCATCGTGGGCTCTTCAGAAAGGGCACAAAAATCGAGTTCTCTTTCATGCGGAGGAAACTGGTTCAGAGTAAATGTCGGTTTACTGTCCGGCAGCCATCTTGGATGTCATATTTAATTGTGAATTAAGCACAATGAAGGTTGTTAAGGAGTTCAGTATGTTATTGTAAACTCTGTTAGGAACCCACCCTGAAAAAAACTTGCTTGTGTTTTTCTTCAGAATTCCATCCTTTTATTTAAAACTCCTGGTCTGTTAAGCCAGAGCCTCGCTACCAACTCCAGCACACACTGATTTCCCATAACTTATATGTCAGTCTTCTAAGAAGAAACCTTGTGGTTTATGCCCATATATGCCTGTTTTCATTACCTTAATAGTAAAAAACACCATTTTTACTGCTTCTCCTTTCTTCCCTCCTTCTCTTCTTACTGCCATGCTGTCTTAATTCTCGAGGGATTTTTCAGTTGTGTACAGCCAAATTCAGCTTCTGTTGACAGAACTTTATTTTACCGACTCTTCATATTTCCAATAGACCACTGTAATGTACAGGCATACATGTTCTTCCTTTAATGTTACATACACTTATTAATAATAAGCAATGTCTCTCAGTAGAGAAAGGTCAAGTGCTCTTAGGAGTCTGCTGCCAGGCAGCTGTGGGCAGATGGAGGATGCCGCTAACCAATACCTTACCAGGGTTGCCAGGATCTTCCGTGGGACTCCATCTTCACGGTTCAACTCTCCTTGGCTTGCCGCATTGCGCTACACGGTAATCAACAGTGTTATCTTTCATGTGAAAGTTGTTTTCCATTCCAGCTTGTTTAGTTCACTCTGACATATAGATACTCTCGTGAATTATATGTTGAGACCTGTGGTAGCCTGGTCATGATATAGAAGGGTTACCTTTATGTTGTTACTGTACTCTACTGTACTGTACTATTGGAACATCCGGCACCTTAAAGTTTATCTCCTACCTGGAGCCAAGTGATGTAGCTTAAGTTAACCAGTTTGGTGTAATCTTGCATCTTCATTTAAAATAAATATTTGTTAAAAAAAATCTTTGTGAATTCGGACTCTTTATGCTATTTATAGGGGGGAAGAGGAGAGGGGAAGGGAGGAGAAGAGATGAGGAAGAAGAGGGGAGAGGAGGAAGAGGGAAGAAGAGAGGAAAAAGGGGAAGAAGGAGAGGAGAAAGGGGAAAAAGAAGAGAGGAGAAAGGGATAGAAGAAGAAGAGAGGAGGAAAGGGGAGAAGTGAAGAGGAAGAGGGGAGAAGAGGAGTGGAAGAGGGCAGAAGAGGAGTGGAAGAGGGGAGAAGAGGAGTGGAAGAGGGGAGAAGAGGAGTGGAAGAGGGGAGAAGAGGAGTGGAGAAAGGGGGGAGAAGATGGGAAAAGAAGAGAGGAAAAAGAGGGAAGAAGAAGAGAGGAGCAAAAAGAGGAGAGGGAAGAAAGCGAGAGAGGGAGAAAAGGCGAAAGGATGGAGAGGGAGAGAGGAGGAAGTAAGAAGAGATGGGGGAAGTAGGGAAGGATAGAGGGAAAGGAGGAAGATGGAGAGATGGGAAAGAAGGAAGGAGGAAGATAGAGAGCAGGGGGAGAAGGAGTGGTTTTTCCTTAACTTAATGTTAAGATAAAATGACGAACAGTTGTTTTTGTTGTTGTCTCAGAAGATGATCACGTGTCCTTCTCTCACTTATTGTTGATGTCTTATATATTAGGAGTTTATTCTTGGCTTCATCATAATAAGGAAAGTCTGTTTATAATGATATAAATTAAAGTAACAGTTGCATTTAGATGTTTTTTAAATACAGTATTGGAAAATTGACATTAAAGGGAATATTTAAAATCTTGGATCCACTCTGCCAGGCACTTTTGGTGTAATGATTCCTTGAAAATAAATGTTATACGATTGTTTTACTGCTGGTAGGGGCTCTCTAGTATATTTCTGATTACTCTGTACGAAATGCATCTAAAAACAGTTATGTTTAATACTCAGAGTGTTTTACTACTTACTTGATTATCAATATAAATTAGAGTTACAAACAAGTGCTACTCCCTATCGACAGCAATTTCTGACTTTCCCATGACACTGTGGGGTATGGGATTGTTTGGTTCACACTCAGGATGGGTTGGAGAAAGGAAACTCACGATGTGCTCTCTGTGTACATGTTGTATTGGATGTACAATGCAGCTTGGTGCTGGGAGGCAGCATGGTTACAAGCGTGATGTAGAGAGAGCTGGTTGGTGAGGATGCTCAGAGGAGGACAGCTTGTGGGTCGCCCTGCTAGCCGGCGGGAGCGAGGACCGCCAGGCAGGCGGAGGAGGTGTTGCTGGCTGGTTGGTGTAGGTAGAAAGAGACAGGTCACCACGAGGTCAGGTCTTAAATAGCGGGGGAGGCGTGGCTAAGTAGTTGACCCCCGCTCCGTGATGTATGGCGGCGCTGGTTGACCTAGACCACGAGGCATACACTGGGGAATTGGTGGGGTCGGCTAGGCAGCGACAAACAGCGTTTGTATGGGAGAAATCCACTACACCTTAAACAAATTCACGCCTAGTTGGCCCTTGGGCCGGCCATCCTCGTTAAACTAGGGACATCCATTATTATAATGATGGTTCCCTATACGTGAGGGTTTTATTATCTTACTGGTTAGGCTAGAAGGAATGACACGGGTTAAATAGCATTTCGTTTATAATGGTCCTAGACATCTAGCGGTGCGATGTAACCGTTCTCTCTAGTGTGCTAGACCTACCCTTACGCTATAACTCTTGCCGTTAGAACCTATTCCTTCTTAATTGTCATATAAGCTTTAATTACATTGGCTTATTTAAATTTCTTATTTCTTATGAGTTTAAAATATCCAAATTTTTTACGGGATTTTCAATTTTTTCTAGACACATTTTCCCAGAAATTTGGTAAAAACGATCTGGCAACGCTGCGCCCTAAACCGCAGCTCGCTCTCATTCTCTGTCATGGAACAGTGGTTCGCCCTTAGGACCTACAGTATACCTTCTCCGGGTTCCTGCGCTTCAAGTGACCGCCTTAATCCACAGTCATACCATAACATTCACTGCAGAGAGAAGTAGATGGTTTAATTTTTTCTCTGGCTACTCATGTCTCCCATATTTTAGTTTATATATAGTTAGGATATTTATATGTTTAGCTAGGGCACTGGTGTAGGGTTAGCGGTTAGGAATTATTGTCTTTATAATAAGTTATTATTGTTATTAAATATTGAAAACTCCTCCTTTGTAAAATGTCCACCCTTTTCCCCTGGAATCTTTCTTAAGTTACCTTACTTTTGTTACTAGTTGGCCTCTTTGGGTGGACCCGACATTGTTTTACTAGCTAACTTGTAACCGATGTCATTTGCAAAAAAAGTCATTCAGAAGAATGACCGAAAGATATTTTATGGTTCTGTACTGCATACGTAACTTCTATTTAATTTATATGTAAATTATTTCCACATTTCTCTCAAATAACTGAGTATACCTTTGTTGAACCTGTTCTTTTATTCTGCAGACCAAATAATGGAAATATTTTCCTACCTTCCGATCATCATTTCCAGTATTAGTAAATTATAGTAAAAAATAATTTCTATTCAGCTCAAAATTTATCCTAATCTCAAGTGCACATGGCCTTAAAATTCCCATTATATTGGTCAGATTTCAAAAACTTTTGGAGACTTACTGCCGTCCACCCAAAAGAAAAACAGCTGAGTGAGCTCGTTTTCCTCGCCATCACCCCCCCCCCCCCCCACACACACACACACACTTCCTTACACCCCAACTTTTCCTTTTCCTGGATCCGCCCCGCAGTGCGTATGCTCCAAAGGCTATTGTGAATGTGACTCTGGTTTCTGTTTTGTCCAGGGAGTAAATGGTTCGCTGTCATGTGGAGCAACCATTCTGTCTGAGGACTACCTGTTAACGGCGGGACACTGTGTGGACACCCTAGCCCCCTTCCACCTTGTCGTCACCGTAGGGAACCACAACTCTAACTTCAGGGAGGAGTCTGAAGAGGTGAACTTTCTTCTTTACACTGTTTTTTATCTTACTCGTTTATTAAATCCCATATCCTTATTTTTTTCTTGTTACCTGTCACTCTACTTATGTAACTCACATCATACGTCCTTTTGTGTGTCCTACTTTATTTCATTCCCTATGTCCTTATTTGTTAAACCATGTCCTAAAATATTTGTTGTCCTGTATTATAAATTGTTTACTTTCAGTGTTTGTTGTTTCCTATGACCTTGTTTGTTTGTTTATTCTGTGTCTCGTTGTTGTTTCCTTTGCTAACTTGTTTTCTTTTGTGATAGTTTTTTCTTTGTCCTTTATTGTTTGTTGTTCCCTGTATCTTGTTAAGGTTTGGTTAACTTAAGAGTAATTACACTTGACTTATTAAGGGACAGGAGGTCGTCTTGGAGGGTGGTATCTGGCATGCTGTGGGTGAGATTTGTCTCTGGCAAACTTCCTAACAGTTCCGTCAGGCAGCATCCATATTATGAACATGAGTAATAGTTGTCATGATCTTGAAGGAGATACTACTGTTTAAATGTCGTATGAGTGGAGGTTCTGAAGGCTGTGTTGGTGCAGTCGTCATCGGCATTGACATGGTTGCTTCCTCCTAGAGTTTTCTGTTTGCATGGAATGTTTTATGTTGTTAAAAAACCTCTTCCTTACCTTCATCTCCGTTCTCATAACTGGTGTCCCATTAGCAGTCAAGATAGGGGTTATTTCCTTATTAGTAATTCCTTGAAAGTATAACCTTCACCTCATCACCCAAAAGATATTTTCTTATTGTTTTAAGGACATTCTGAATTTGTATGGAAGAATTTGTAGCAACGACTTGAAACCTAGAAAACAATGTATTAGCGTTCGCAACAAGGCAAACAGGATTCTTGGGTTCATATCTAGGTCTGTGAGTAACAGAACTGCTGACGTTATCTTGAAACTTTACCTAGCATTAGTGAGGCCACACATGGATTATGCGGTTCAGTTCTGGTGTCCTTATTATAGAATGGACATAGATTCTTTGGAGAGAGTACAAAGAGAATGACAAAAATGATCCATAATATTAGAAACCTTCCATATGAAGAAAGACTGAAAAGCTTAGGCTTACATTCATTAGAGAGGCGTAGAGTTAGGGGAGATATGATAGAGGTGTACAAGTGGGTAAGTGGGATTAATAAGGGTAAATGGAAGATGTTCTGAAGCTCAGTAATAACGAAATAACTAGAACAAATGGCTTTAAATTAGATAAATTCCGATTCAGAAAGGATATAGGCAAGCACTGGTTTGGTAATAGAGTTGTGGATATGTGGAATAGGCTACCGAGTGCTGTAGTAGGATCGGGGACGCTAGGGAGCTTCAAGACGAAGTTGGATAGGCACATGGAAGTGCTGGGATGGGTGTGAAAGGGATCTGCCCTGTATGGGCCAGTCGGTCTCCTGCAGTATCCCACTTTCTTATGTTATGTTCTTAAGAGTTGATAAGGTGCAACTCCTCATACTCCACCTGTTCATTACCTAGGAAGCAACATGACATGTTACTACTCTCGATGATTGCCTCCTGTGTCACAGCGATCCCTAAACAGCAGCATTTTGACTTGTGTTTCCTCTCTTGCCTATGAATCTAGATTTTGTGTCCTGTGACCTCGCGAGAGGAAAGGTCACGGCTGATTTAGTTCCCGGGGATTAACTGACAGTGCCACAGTTGTGGCCTGACCACATAAGAGGACAGACGTGCCCATAGGTGCTCTTATCTTCCCGATCATCCTACAAAGGACCCCTCAGTCCCGACTCCCCTTGCCAGCAATGGGGGGGGTCGACGTAAACGCCCCGAAAGAGGCGTCCCCTCTCTCATGGATACAGGCATCTCTGATGCGGAGGCCACTGCTCTCTCGCTTGGTCATACTGCATACCACACCCTTCAAGAGTCAGACCTCGGTGATTGTGAGTAACAGTAATGTTTCTATGGGAAACACTAGCCGATGTGGTAATGCCAATGCCACGGGCAGTAGGCCGTCCCCTGCCACCCTTCCCTCTGCCAACCAGCCAAATAACCTGAACCTGCACTTCCCCAAGGACTCGCTGAAAACCGTCGAGGAACGGTTTAAATGGATGACAAAGTTCTGCAGACAACACGGTCTCGCCATTCAATTCCGAAAAGATAAGAACCGGAACTTTATCAAGTGTCAGACTCCTGAGGTCTATGAAACACTTAATACTGTTGGGTTTGACGGGGTTGTCCAGGAGCCCCCACCAGTGGACCCAGCTGAATGTTGCCACATCCTAGTTAAACAATTCCCCCTATACGCTGATATCGAAGATGCTTGTGACTGTAATCCTAGTATACTCAGTATACGTCGACACTATTGCTTTTGTTCACCATCCCGTCAATTTCCTCCTGGGACAAACTTTTTAGACATTTTGGATATATTTTAGTTGGTTTATTTATTTACAAGTCTCTTTCTGAAATACATAGATAACACAAGTGATAAAAACCGTATTTGAAATGTGTCACGCAATTTCACAGCACCCCTACAAACACTAATGTGGGGTACAGTATACCCCAATGACGCAATTACACAAAGACCGGATTAGATATCAGAGTGATGCACCCTTTCTCTGTGAGGTCTCAGCAAGCACTGAGGGTACAGGGGGGGCCCAAGTTCTGAGTCATGCAGGAACTTTAGATCATCCAGCTGCCCGGGGTAGGATAGACCCCACATTAGTGTTCTAGGATAAACACTAATTTTTCAAAACCTTGTTAACAGGGTAATGTGTTCACAGCTTGATTCCACACTTCAAATATATTGTCGTCTCACTACCAATTTACAATTCCTTAGTCTTCTCACTTAATATTAATCACAACAATTCCACAATAAACTTGCACAACTGTCTTCAGTTGTTCGGTTAGGACTAGTCCTTACACTAGGAACAGAGGCGAGCGATCATCTCCCTAGGCAGCCAGCGTCTGCTTATATACGCCTCATCAGACGCGTCTCTAACATCCTAGAGTAACCCAGAGATGTCTGTGAGATTTTAGAACATTCTACTCTGATCGAGTCTTACAATCATAAAAAAAAATGATACGATACATTCTAGAATATTCTTACATAATTAATACAGCAATATATACACCTTATTTGTGGACAGACTAAATCAATGTTATTCCAACTGCACATAGGCCGAGATATTTCTATATGATTAAATTTGTAAACCATATTCATAAAATAGTGTTTACGTGAATTAGTTTGTTCCCAATACTGTGAGTAACCCAAGTAATGATATTTGTCTTATATTATCTTCAAAAATATACTTGTATGATTAGGCCACAGTGACACCAACTTGTACTTTTCTCAGGATTTCTCCGTCGACAAAATCTGGCTACATGAGAAGTACAGTGCATACGGCTTCCTCGACAACGACATCGCCCTCATCAAGATCAAACGGAAGAGAGGACATGGACTGAGGTGAGTGTCTCGTCTGACTTAAGTTCTATTAATCACCAACACAAAGACTAAAATGAATTCTTCACTACTCCCTCATGTAGCAAAACCCTGAACGAATAAAACATATACTGTATTGTATTTTTCTACAATAAAACAATGGAATGTGCGTTCAGAGTGGCGGATTAATAATACTGTTGGTCTTTGTCATTTTCAATGTATTAATTCATTATTTGCTATGATTTGTGGAGTTGGTTATTTGTGGTTAACACCTTGTGTACAGCGTTGCCTCTGTGCTGAATAAAATTGTCTGGCGTTAGCTAAATAAAATATTAATAGTGGCGTCCCCATATTGAAGGGGTTAAATAATTGTGTGGTTCTATCCTTTTTTCGTGTGTGTGTGTGTATGTGTGTGTGTGTGCGCGCGAGCATCAGCTACAAATTCTACAATGATGTCTCATTGTGATTAATGAAGGTTGTGACTATTCCTGTGCTCTTTGTATAATTCTGAACCTGTATAGCTCCTTGCCCCTCTCCATGATGGCCCACAACTCTGCCCATTCACTTAAGTTCCTATTTTCCGATCACCACTGGTCAACCTGTCACCTCTCTGGCTTGTCCATAAGATCTTAATTCCCCTAAATCTGACCATGGCATGGGTCAGCGACGGGCGTCTCTCAGTGAGTGTTCCTTACTATCCCAGTCAGGGAGATGACGAGGCCAGTCAGGGGCACACTGGAGATGGCTTTGAGGAGTTTAGGACGAATAAGAAGAAACAAAAATTTAAGAAACATTCTGCACAGTCGTCCCAAGTGGATGATATGATTCGATCCTTAAAAAGTTGAAAGACTACTGTACCTTGTTACCCCCTTCCCTAAGAATATGTCCCCTGAGAAGCTTTTGATCTTCCGGGCATCTACAGGGCAAACAGAATCTACAAGGATAATGCACCAATTACTATTGTGGTATCGTCATTGTATGGAATGGTAAGGAACCGCCTTCCGTTCAACATTTCTTCTTCGGGGAGTGTAGCGCCCCTAGTCATATCAGATAGTGGGTTCTCACCCCTGTGATGTGTTACAACTGTTACGGAACCTACCATGTGGCGAAGTACTGCCACAAAAAGTGCCTGCTTGCCTGCACTGAACTTCAATTCCTATTTGTGACTTTTCATCATCCTTTACGATGAGTGGATTTTTTTTGAGGATTCTGTCATCATTTTGCGGATTATTTGGCCGATTAATCTATAAATCTGAAGACGAGATGTTTGTGACATTAAAAATAAGACTTTACCTCAGTATCGAGAGGTTTGGCCCTTCTTCTCATACGGACAAGTACAGACCGCAGTAAAAATGTTCGTTTGAATCACAAATAATGCGTGATCATTGCTACAGGGAGAGCCATGGCAGTTAGGCAGTTGAGTGGTCAATTTCAGAAAGTTAATATACTAGTATTAGCATTTCAGTCTGTACTGTCTGCAGTAGTTACTGCTCAGGACGGTAACTATAGCGGCCTAAGTATGACAATCTTACTGGTAAAGCTAGGAATCTATGCCTGAAATTCAAGAACTGATTAAGTTCACTTGAACCTTGAAGGCAAGGCCTATTGTGCATGTACCAAAGGCAAATACAGTATTAACTTAATGCAAAACTTTGTGATTCTAAACCTGGACAGTTGTGGAAGCATATCGTGCTTCCTGAACCATTTACAGTACAAGTCCCAGAGCAATTAAAGATTAATTTCCAGAAGATTTGGTAAATCTGAGGCCTCTCCGACAAGTGCAACTGAAGACCGTGTGGAATATTTCATTGTAGAACACGTTTATTTCACTGCCGAACACTTTGTGGGGGTAGGATGGGATGGAGAAAGGAAACTGGCTAATGCTCTTCTATACATATAGAGATGGATGCAGCTTGGTGCTGGGAAATGGCAGCGGTTACAAGCGTGATGTGAGAGAGCTGGTTGGTGAGGATGCTCAGAGGAGGACAGCTTGTGGGTCGCCATGCTCGCCGGCGGGAGCGAGGACCACCAGGCAGGAGGAGGAGGTGTTGCTTGCTGGTTGGTGTAGGTAGAAAGAGAGAGGGCACTACGAGGTCAGGTCTTAAATAGCGGAGGTAGGCGTGGCTTAGTAGTTGACCTCCGTGATGTATGGCGGCGCTGGTTGACCCAGACCACGAGGCATACACTGGGGAATTCAAGGGGTCGGCTACTCAGCGACAAACAGCGTTTGTAGGGGAGAAATCCACTACAATACTCCCTCCTTCCCTCCAGGCGGTGTAGGAGACTTGTTGTCTGCAGGGTTGCATGGCACATGTGAGGCAGAACGGGCGGTGCATGCCTCATCTGAGACAACGGCGAGGGCGTAGATGAGCCGGCCGCTAGTGGAGGCAACTGTCTAGACACACAATATCTGTGGGAATAGAGAGGGAGAAAGAGGGTTGTGGAGGCGATGAATGTTGTGCTTCACTCGCGACAGGTACAGAGTCGTCAGATGCGCCTGCTGGGATGTGTGGGCCTGGGTTCAGGAGCAGGGGCTGCGTCAGCAGAAGCGGATGAGGGCTCGTGACAGCAGCTGGGTCCACGACAGCAGCAGGGTGCAGGACAGTAGCAGGGAGTACCTGAGGGAGAAAAGAGGGGTGTGTGGGTCCGCACTCAGGCGCATGGGCTGCGTCGGGAGCAGGGGCTGCATCAGGAGGAGCGGCAGGGGGTACTGCTGGGCCGGGGGCGGCGTCTGAGGCAGGACGGGTGTGTTGGGGTCGGTAGGACGTGGTGCTTGGGGCAGGAAGAGGAGCTGGTGTCTGCTTAGAGAAGCAGTGCTTCTCTAGGGTGTCTAACCTGCGGTGTAGAGACAGTAGCTGTAGAGCCGATGAGAGCTGCTTCTGGGTGGATAAGCCAGTCTTCCATGTTGCTTGAAGACTGGGAGAATGATCAGTTTCTCCTCCATCCTGTGTGAGTGGTCACTCCGGGGTCACCATTTGTGGGGTACGTGATGTTTGGTTCTAGACTTAAAAATCACGATGTGCTCACTGTATACATATTGTATTGGATGTACAATGCAGCTTGGTGCTGGGAAGTGGCAGCGTGGTTACAAGTGTGATGTAGAGAGAGCTGGTTGGTGAGGGTGCTCAGAGGACAGCCAGGTCGCCACCAGCGGCGGAGCGAGGACCCCTGCCAGGCAGCGGCGGGGAGGAGGAGGTGTTGCTTGCCAAGGTGAGGTAGAAAGAGCGTCGTCACCACGAGGTTCAGGTCTTAAATAGCGGAGTGTAGGCGTGGCTTAGTGCTGACTCAGTCATGGGCGTTGCTGACCCAGACCATGAGGCATACACTGAGGAATTCGTGGGGTCGGCTACTCAGCGACAAACAGCGTTTGTAAGGGAGAAATTCACTACAACTTAACTACAATTTGTTAAAAGTGATATAAGCACCTACGTGATATGTTAAATTTCATTGTAGTATTTTTAAAAATCAATTTATATGTATATTTCAAAGCATATAAAAAACTAGCTTCCTTTTTTTTTTAAATAAAGCTACTATTGACTCTCCTCATAGTGACTTTTGAACATCACGAGTCGGCATCCCTGTCTAGAAGTTAGAACAACAGTTTGTCTCTCATTGTCAATAGGAAAGTATGTAGGATTTAAAGTCTATCTCTTGATTCAGAAAATCACAGAAATAAATTTTTCACTAAGAATCGCATAGAGCTCTTACAAGTGATGATAACGCCAGAATACTTGTGCATGGATAATCGATTAATCGTATTTCTATTTTGTAAAGATATTTTTTCTGGTTCTATAATTTTGAGTAAACTCGCATTGTTATTCAAATTTTGTTATTAAAAATATCAGAAGATAAACATGAGGCCTACCTGAGACCACTGTAGTATATTAACTAATGATGTTGTTGTCTATTATAACTATTATGAAAGTATAAATAAATATATCTACACAAGGCAGGTTGGATATATTGAATACCAATCATGTACCACTACCACTACATACCATACCATACCATACCATACCATACTACAGTGTCCTGTTTAGGGAAATCAAAAGTACCTGAATAAGAGCATTTGAACTTGGCACGCCACAAGGAGAAGTGTCAAGTTCTATGGGTGCAAACGTTTGGGTTGGGTATAAACGAGACCCCCTAGTATGGCCCACTGCAGTTTCCTCCGTTCTTATGCTCTTATGTTCTTAATATACTGATGCACAAGCTTATTATTGACATTCCAGTTCAACCGACTGAAGCTGCGATGTTTTACACGTATGATTTCTGTATTATGGTGCATACCAAACCCAGGCTCCAAGCCCTAATGGATGCATTTGCTCGGAGGACTGTTGAATGTGGTGGTCTCATAATATCTATTGATAAGACGAGGGTCCTCAATCCTTGCCCTGCTTATCCTTTTAACTTTAATATTGATTTAAATGATGCGAACTTCATTGCCAACCTCCACGCCAAACTATTAGAGCGAATTAAACCTCTTGGAACCTTACTTGGTGAAAGCTATGGAATTAACATCACCTATGCTCGTACCTTCTATCTTCACTTCATATGATCCATAGTTGACTATCATGCTCCTCATCTTGTTACTCTTCCTTACAAACATCTTGATAGCCTGGAAGTAGTACAAAATAAAGTCATGTGCAATATCTTAGGATTCCCAAAATCTACAAGAATTATAAACATGAGAAAAAAACTTCCTGATCACAGCGGATGGGGTAAAACACGCACTAAGAATTATCGTAGAGATCAAGAAGTTTTTTCATCAGCACATTTATATTTATGGGAATGGGTCAGTGATCCAGGGTCACAAATAGCCCTCATCTTCGTGAACAACTTATATTAGAAGGACTAGTGGATAAAGATCAGTCAGCAACTTAAGTTCTGGATATGAAATGGAAGTCTAACAAAGATGAATTAGGTTTTCACTCCAGCCTAGAATACTTGAAATTTATGGAATACTGTATCACCGGCCTATTGGCCCATACTAGGCAGCCCCGTTTACACCCAACCCATATCGCTCATATATCAGTCAAAACTATATTTGAAGCTTCCCAGCGTGTTGGAGTTAATGATGATGTTTGGTTACTTATTCCACTCTATTTCCAAACCAGTGTACTCTGCCACCTTCACAGCAGTGGGAACTGAATGTCCCAACATGAGTAATGGATGAGTGGAACAAGTTACCAAACACCATCATTAACTCCAACACGCTGGGAAGCTTCAAATATAGTTTGGACAGATATATGAGCGATATGGGTTGGGTGTAAACAGGGCTGCAGTTTCCTTCATTCTTATGTTCATATCAGCGCTGTAGTGAATATAAACCAGAATGGTGGTTTGAACTCGCAACTTAAAGTTATGTACAGTGCACACAGACAGACACATTCACGTACCTCCTGTTATAAGACAATTTTATTCTTGGGCAGGTTTGGCCCGAGGGTGAAGCCCATCTGTCTCCCTGACGCCCGTGACTCCTACGATGACCTGCAGGGATGTGTGGTGATGGGATGGGGCGAACAGATCTTTGTACCTGAGGTAAGTGTCCAAGACTTTATCTTCTTTGTGATAACAACAGTTGTGTACAAAATACATGTACAGTATAAATTAAAGTGTCATCATCTATATAGAAGGAACAATTGTCATCCAGTCAACAGAGGGAGACCACATGGTCCTACATTTGATAATCCTGAATATTGTTAGAGGGCGACGGTAATGAAGATAACTAATGAGCTTATACTGTCACACACATACCCTATTACTTTGCTGTCGCTCGGAGTTATTAAGGATGTCACCTTCGTTGGGGAACTCCGAGGCCGATACGGGACCGGCAGGGTCGTTCATAGGTGTTGCACATGTGGGGGGCTACATCTAGTGTGAGAGGGGCGGCAACAGCGTCTTTTCGGAGTTGGCACTTGTCTGCCTCGGTTTGGAGTTGGGCTAACTCAAAGGTATTGACACCTTCTCTCATGGTGCTCCTCCAAGCGTTATGGTGTGCAGTAATCGTCTCCCAGGTAAGAGGGTAGATTTGGCACTTTTTCAGGTGTGTCTTAAGACTATCTTTATACCTTTTCAGTTGCCCATGTGATGTTTACTATTCGTGAGGTGAGTGTAAGGTATCTGCCTTGGCAATCTACTGTCGTTCATGAGGGTAACATGGCCAGTCCAACAAAATTGTTCAAAAATAATGGTAGCCTCGATGCTCCTACAGTTGGTATCAACGAGAATGCTGTCATTTGTTCTCTTGTCTTCCCAGAGAACTCGGAGGATGGAACAGACTACGTTGGTGAAAGTTTTCAAGTGCCTTGAGGTGCCTCCTGTATGTGATCCATGTCTCACTGCCATATAATAGGGTGGGGAGGACTACTGCTTGATATACATGCAACTTTGTAGATAATTTCAGCTCCCTACAGTTGAAGACACGAGTATACTGTCTTCCAAACACTTGAGATGCACATCTGATCCGATGTTGAATCTCTTCATCGATGTCTGCGGTGTTTGACAGGTGGGAGCCGAGATACTGAAAGAGGGTAACTTTAGAGAGGGTAGTACTGTTAAGCTGGATGGATGGTGGAGGTGTGGCTGAACCAGGGGCAGGTTTAAAGAGAATCCGAGTCTTATGTACATTCACCTAAAGGCCGAAGTGTGCATACACATCTGCATAGGTGTTCAGGATCTGTAGGTCGCGTTTAGTGTGAGCGACAAGGGTGAGGTCGTCTGCATACTGAAATTCAGTAATGTAATCTGCCGACACCTTTGTTCCTGCCTGGAGTCGTCTTATGTTGAAAAGACCCTTCATCTAGTACTGGATGTCCACCCCGCTGGCTAAATTAGCACTGCCACGAGTAAGGAAGGCAGTCAAGAAAATGGAAAAGAGAGTTGGTGCCAATACACATCCTTGTTTTACCCCCGTTTGGATAGGGAAGAATTCAGACGGGGTGCCATTGTGCAGGACACTGCCGATCATATCATCGTCGAGTTGCCTCACAATGGAGATGAATTTTGGTGGGCAGCCAAAACGGCCTAGGGTCCGCCAGAGGGCTTCCCTGTTGACCAAGTCAAAGGCCTTAGTTAGGTCGATGAAGTCCATGTACAGGTCACAATGCTGTTCTCTGCACTTTTCCTTGGATGGCAGGCAACAAGGATCATGTCAGTGGTGCCATGTGATGGTCTAAAGCCACATTGAAATTCTAGGAGGAAGTCCTCCACCTGAAGAAGTCTGTTTAGGAGGACTCTTGCCTGTTACTGACAGCAGCGAGATCCTGCGGTAGTTGCCACAGTCTAACTGATCTCCCTTAGGGGATTTCCTACTTTTCCCATATATTCTCCAGGAGAGAGTGGAAATAGCTGGTATGCAGAGGTCCTCCTGCTTTGTAGATCTCGGCTGGAATTCCATCGGGCCCCGAGTCTGTTTTCTAATATACTATACGCCTAGCTGTGTGTGTATCTGTTCTGGGCAGCCGAAATGGCACAATCGTTTTTCATCAAACTTGGTGGAAAATCGCACAAAAATTCGTAGAGTGGAACAAACCTGGTCCCATGTCGATGGTTTCTTTAGGAAGGCATTAATTAATCATCTTATTTACGCTGGCAAAAGATGTCTCTGTACGCTGTCTGCCGGCCAGACGATTGCAGTTATCGTACGGCCCCCTCCTCTCCCCCCACTTTTTCTCTTAGCCTACTGTTTTTTTAATGTTGTTTGGATTAGTAAAGGAAGTAAGATGAGTAAATAGAAGAATAAAGAAGGGGAAACAGAAAATAGTTAGAGATAACAGGTGGGGGGGGGACTGAGTTTCATCATGCGTCTGGATGCGCAATTTCAACGTTACCAGACGACCTTACAGCTACAGTGTATACTTATTCCTGTGGGTGACTGTACATAGAAAGAGAGAAGAGATAAAAAAATAATAACAGGAATTCATGGAGAAGATGACTACAATAGACACAGGGTGAATATAGACAGTGAAACAGACAGGAGGTTGACAAAAATAGACAGATTCATACATGCACAAATAGACAATATGGCAACTAACATGACAGACAGACAGCTGACTGACTGGTTCACATTAGACAAACAGGCAGACACACGCCAACAACGGATAAGACAGACAGATTTGACGACATAAAGAGTACAGACGGGCTTACATTCAAACACCACGCAGACAAACTGACAATCGGGATGGCAATAGACGGGACGGATAGTCTTGAGACAGATTAGAAGGCATTTATAAACAAGAATAACACCAAATTGACCATAGCTGCGTCAGTGAGGGTAAGAGGTCTTACATCAATTCAATTTCAATTTCAATTGTTTATTCCTTGATAGAGGAAGCGGGATCCTAGTGCTGTCACAAGGTACCCCTGTACAATAACACCAGAAGCATCTGGCAAGTGTGACAAGTATATACAGTATAAATATTATAAAGGGGCTTACTAAAGCCTAAAGAAGGAAGGAAGGACATTCCTTTAACACATAATCAATGTTATTTACATAATACCTGGCCAGTATGGGGAGGATCATCGTGTCTCCATCAGGTGGTCGTGGAGTGGTGGTCCAGCAGGCGTCACGGAAGCGTTGTGTGTGGGGACATCTTAGGCTGTCGGGTCTTCTGCATAATGCACAAGAGCGTTGCTCATGGGGTCTTACAGCCACCAGCGTAAATAATAAGACGCATTGAAAACTAACACCCTCGCGCGGAAAGAACATTGATGGTCGGTCAGTCATGTGAGATGGGCCTAAAACTGACTAACGTACATGATGACTATGATGACTTAACACAGGTGATGACTTAAGCAGATGGTGACTAATCTAACCAGAATCAAGGTTACTTCTCTTCATAATATAATTTATCTCGGAATGATCATCGGTGATTCAAAATATTTTTTTTTATGATCTTAACCTCTCCTTATGGCGAATATTTCTTTAAGTAATTATTCTAACCTTTATTCTATTCCTTCTTATAGTATATTAGATACTGTAAGTATCACTACCACGACCATGATTATAACAACCACGACCATGATTATAACAACCACGACCATGATTATAACAACCACGACCATGATTATAACAACCACGACCATGATTATAACAACCAGGACCATGATTATAACAACCACGACCATGATTATAACAACCACGACCATGATTATAACAACCACGACTGTACACGCCTTGGTTAAGGACGTTCAGGTGACGGGCAAGTCGAAGGGAATGATTGAAACCCGTCTTTTGATGCATTCAATATTTATTGATGTGGTCAAAACCTGCAGAGGAGAAGGCGTTCATAATATTACAAGGTGATCCATCTGATACATAATTAGTTAGTCTCACACAATTTTATCTTAATTACAATTTATTAAACATACTGACATAACACAAAGTTCATAACTCTATTAATCTTAGCTTCGCTTCATTCTGCATTGTCTTATTACTCCGGGTTAGGTAGAAACGAGTAGGCGTAATTAGTCAACAATATTTCAGTACCGAGGGGTATGTCATCACTTAGGCCGTACTTACAAGTGCGGGTCAATGCAGATCAGTATGGTGTTCCAAGAGACAGCAGTATTGCGTAAATTGTTCCGGCACAAATTCTCGGACAGGAGAAAGCTGGTTTTCACAGCATCACTAGAGAGGGCGATCTGACTCATGGAGAGGCGGGCAGCACCGCCACCAGTTGAAGACAGTCCACTCAGCAGAACCAGGACTTGTCTGTAAACACTTCTACAACTGGCGAGGTCACAGATCGAAAGATTGAATGGCATCACACGCCAGCACTGTAGCTGAAGCCAGCGGCGATAACAACGACCATGATTATAACAACCACGACCATGATTATGACAACCACAACCATGATTATAACACTCATGACCATGATTATAACAACCACGACTATGATTATAGCAACCACGACTATGATCATAACCACGACTATGATTATAGCAACCACAACTATGATCATAACCACGACTATGATTATAACAACCACGACCATGATTATAACAACCACAACCATGATTATAACAACCACGACCATCTGGAAAACGATGTCGCAATACGCTGTCAGCCGGATGGCGGTTGCGCGCAAGCCAAACACAAGCTTCGTACTTTCACGCCTCGGTAAACTGTACCACCGGATTCGCCACCGGGCATGAAGGGCCCACGATCACTTGTTTTTTATCTATTTGGTCACAGTAGCTACCTCATCCAGGAATGGAGGATAGCTGAGATGGGTCAGCTCTGGATGCTAAGGGACCTGCTGGGTAGACAGGACATCACATCGGATTTTCGGCTGAGCAGCAAATGGTAGTGCTCTTTCTAGTGCTGAAGGATGTCTTCTTCGTCTTTAATTGTGGAGTTACCGTCGGATGAGCGGAGGGGGGCTACGCCACGAGGGATTGGCAATTAAAGTATTTTAGTAGAATTGAAAAATTCGTGCATCTTGTGTTGATCTGCAAGCTTTTTTTTCATTTCACATGGTTTATTTTTAAACCAGCCATTCTTTAGTTTGCAAAGTTCCTGCTGGGCCGCCACTTTC